TTGTCCTCAGAATTTGACCTATATCCAAAATCTGTTTTAATTTCATACTCAAGGCTGGAGGTCCAGCTCGATGTTAATGTGCTTGTTTTCATATGCACAAGCTTGAGTTTGTTCCCCAGCATTGCAAAATAAGTAAATAAATTTCATACTTCAGAGCCTTCATATTTGTCAGCGTTAACCCTTTAGGTCACTACTGATCATGGTTTTGGGAGTTGATGTACTTAACAGCTTCTTATTTTAGACCATAAATAGACAGTCCTACTTTTTGGTCTGAGCTTAGGTGCTTAGACTCTGAAGCTTTGGATGATACAAACGTGACTTAGGAAGCGAAAAGCGCAATCGTATAGTTCAAAAACTTAACTCTCCAAACAGTTCTTGAGGAAGAGTTCTCAAAAAGGTTTTCAATAAAGGTAATATATTCTAGGACTAGCTGTGTGCATATCTGCCCACTTTCATGTTGCAACTAACCATGGCTTTCCTAGTTTGATGTGGATACTGCTCCTAAAATATGAATATTTGACAACCAGTCTTTACCATTCAACAGTGTATGTTGTCCAGCAAGTGCTCTGTAGGCATTGGGGCTTAGCAGTAAGAAATGCAGGAATGTGGTGAGCCATCACTCAGCAAGGCTGTATGTCATGTTGTGGTAGTAATGATGAGTGCAGGAGAGAGAAATCTGGGCAAGGAAACAAGTAGAAGTGGCACCATTAAAGATGTCTTTTAAAGAGTAAATTGGGACGTTAACTTAGAAAACCATAGAGTGACTGAAATGACTCATGACCACCAACTTAGACAGCATCTTTGAGGAGTGCCTTTGTTGTTTTCTTTCCTTTTAGAAAAGGTCTTGCTTTCAAAGCCCTCCTGTGTCAGTCTCTGGAATGATAAATTACAGGTGTGTATCAGCGTGGTGAGCTGAGGAGACGACTGATTGTTTACTTATTTATACATACATACATACATTTGAGGCAAAGTTTCTCTGTGTAGCCCTGACTGTCTTGGAACTTACTCTGAAGACTAGGCTGGCCTCGGACTCAGAGATCCATCTGCCTTTGCCTTCCAAGTGTTGGGACTAAAGGCATGCACCACCATTCCTGGTTGTTTTTATGAAGTAGCCTAGCCTGGCCTTGAGCTCATGCTGCTCCTAACTTAGCTTTCACAGTAGTGGTATGCATTACCATATCAGTATAGGAAATGACTTTTAAAAAGAATTTTTAAAAATTACTTTAAGGAAGTCTCCTGGGAGGGAGTCAACTACAGTCCTCCACTCTGCCAGCTGAGCTATCAGAAACAAAACAAAACAAAAACTACTTTTAATTCTGTGTCTGTGTGCATGGATGCAGGTGCCTGTGGAGGCCAGAGGCATTGGATCTCCTGGAGCTGGAGTTTGTGAGCTGTCTGGTGTGGGTGCTTGGAACTGAACTCAGGTCCCCTGGAACTCTTAACAGCTGAGCCATCTTTCTAGCCCTTTAAAATACTTTTAAAAATTATTTTGTGAGCTGGGCAGGGGCCTTTAATCCCAGCACTTGGGAGGCAGAGCCAGGCAGATCTCTGTGAGTTCCAGGACAACCAGAGCTGTTACACAGATAAACGCTGTCTCAGGAAAAAAAAAATTAATTTGCCAGTGTAGGTGGTGTGTGTGTGTGTGTGTGTGTGTGTGTGTGTGTGTGTGTGTACACGTACAAGTGAACATGTCTTTGGAGGCAGAGAACAGCTTTTGGGAGTTCTAATTTAACATGGACTTTTGAATTGCAGTCAGGTGCCAGGCTTATGTGGCAAGTGCCTTCACCCACTGAACCATCTTGCAGCTCTGGGATACGGTTTTTTCAGCAAAAATCAGACAGCAAGATAAAGCTGTATGTGCTTCAGCCACAGTGAAGATACAGCTGACAATCTGCCAGTGTTAAATGTCTCTCTATGCTAAACCAGGGATTGAACTTAGGTTGTCAGGTTTGCTAGCAAGTGCTTTTATTCACTAAACCACCCAGCCAGCCCAAGGACTTGATTTTATAGCATCAAGAGTATTGACTTTACTTAGAATCATTTTGTACATTGGAGAAAGAAGAAAAGAAAGCAGGAAGTAAGTGTATTCACTTTCTTGCTATTTAAAGTGATTCAGCCTAAATGTATTTGTGAGGAATGGAAGGCAGGAAAGTTGCTTAGGATCTGGAAGTTTTGTTTCCCTTGGCTAACATTTAGTTAGGTCTAACGACACATACCTGTAATCTCAGTATTTGTGTGAATTTGATGGAGCCATCTCCAGCCCCCTACACTGGTCTTATAAACATGATTATTCCTCTGTTGAGAGCTGGTTTGGCTGAATTCTGAAGGTGTGGCACAAGAAGAGCAGATAGATGCAGGCAGATTAAATGAACAGATGCAATAAAGCCATGTGTGGTGGTGTACACCTGTCACCCTGGTATTTGGGAGTCTGAGGCAGAAGGATTGAAAATTTGATAATGTTAGAATAGTGGTGGGCCAGGCACTGCTAATCTTCCACAAATGGAATAAAGTAGCAAGAGCAGAAAGAAGGTTTTGGAGAGGAACAACTGGGATTAGGATAACAAAATACAGAGTGTGAAATAAATAACCTTATGTGTGTCCCTAGAAGCACATGGTCAGAAGTCATCAAACCTGACAGCCTCAGCTCAGTTCCACAATCTACATGGAGAGAACTGATACCTGCAAGTTGTCCTCTGACCTCCACATGTACACTTTGTCACTCAACACTCCCACACACTAAGTAAATTTTATGTGGGTGAAAATAAAGACCTGTAAACAGGCCTGATGATACAAGCCCATAATCTCTGACATTTAGGAACTGGAGGCAGGAGGGTCAAAATCCAAGGTCTGGTTGACTCAAGACTAGTCTGAAAAACTTAGACTCTGTCTCAAGAGTACAGGGGTTGGGGAGTAGGGAAATGGTGTAGTGGTGCAGTAGGTAAAAGCACTTGCTACCAATGTTGACACTGTTTCGGTTCCTGGACCTTGTGGTGGTGGAAAGAGAGCACCCACTCCTGAAAATTGTCTCCTGGTCTCCACATACCCCTCAACCCCAGCATGCCAATACATACATGATTACTGCCTTTTGTTTTCGTTTTTGTTTTTCGTGACAGGGTTTCTCTGTGGCTTTGGAGGCTGTCCTGGAAATAGCTCTTGTAGACCAGGTTGGTCTCGAACTCACAGAGGTCCGCCTGCCTCTGCCTCCCAAGTGCTGGGATTAAAGGCATGCACCACCACTGCCTGGCTGATTACTGCCTTTTTTTAAAAAACATGGTTGCAGGGCTAGAGAGGTTGCTCAGCAGTTAAGAACACTTGCTCTTGTAGAGGACCTGGATTTGGTTCACAGCACACATGGTGGCTCACAACCATTCGTAATTCCAGTTCTAGAGGACGTAGCACTTTCTGAACCGTGTGGTTACCAGGTACACATGCAAGCAAAAGACTCACAGATAGAGAAGTCAGTGATAAAGTTCTTGCTTGCATATATGAGGCCCTAGTAAGTAAAAAGAACCATGTGTAACTATTGCATGGAAGTTGGTAGATTTGAGAACAATGAAATTCTTCCAGGTGCTGGTAGGATATATATGGTAGTAGGAAATGGAGCCTGGTACCAAATCTAGGACAGTTGGTACATTGACTGCATCATATCTAAAGAAGGGTGGAAGTTAAAATAGCTGGGACCATACATTTTGATAGTGAGGATTCTTGTGTGAGACAGGAAGGAGATGATGCAGGAACAGGAGGACATCTTATGACCCTTAGTAAAAATCTGGTGGAGTATTATCCTGGCGGAAGTTTTATCGAAGTCCAGAAAGCGTACAGTTGAGAGACTAGACTGTATGTGTGTTCCTTTTGCACCCCAATTCCCACCTATTTTGTGTGTGATGATAAATGCCAGGATAGCAAATGCTGGCTTTCCCCTTTCTAACACTGGATGACCACTCAGTCCTTAGGTGGGGTCTAGCTCAGTGGGCAAAGCCCTTGCTATGCAAGTTCAGATCCCCAGCACCCACATAAAAGCTGCACAGGTGTGGCCAGTCTATCTCTTATCCCAGCCCTTGGCAGGAAATATGCTAGGCTAGCCTGAGGAGCAAGCTCCAAGCTTGGTGAGAGGTTCTACCTTAGTAAATAAAATAGAGGGTGATTGAGAATGACCCCTTACATCAATCTCTGGCTCCACACACTTTTCAAACATGCATAGGTTTACTAATCACAATGTCCACCTCCAAAACAAAAGTCTTTGACTTGTTCAACAGGGAACCCAAGCCTGCACCTACTCATGAACTCATAGCTCTCCTTAAGCTATAGGGTTCCAAGAAGTAGTTAGCTGTGGTTTTTTTTTTTTTTTTTCATGTTAAAACTTGCACTTGGTACAGGACGTTACTTTATCCTGGGTATTTTGGCTAAATGACTGTGGCAAGAGAGAAGTTGCAAACAGTTGGTTTTTAACATGTAACAAAAACAAGCTAATGGAAGCTGGGCATGGTGACTCATACATGTAATTGTGACACTTGGGAGGCTGGAGCAGGAGGATTACTGCAAGTTCAAGACCAGCCCGGACTGCATGGTGTCAGGCCAGTCTGATCCATAGAGTGAAATCCCATCATAAGTTTCTCTTCCTGATTTGTGTGTATGGGTGTTTTGCCTATATGTGAGTCTCTGCCCATGTGTGTGCCTGGTGGAAGCCAGAAGAGGGGTGGATCTCCTAGAACTGGAGTTACGGAAGCCTGTGAGTCCCCAACTGTGTGCTAGGAATCCACCCAGGTGCTCTGGAAGTACAGTCAGTGCTCAGCTGCTGAGCCATCTCTCCAGCAACCCCTCTCAATTTTTTTAAAAGCAAAACCAAAATTTATGGAAAATTTGTGAAATCTGATCCTGAAGTAATAACAACAACAAAACTATGTCCAACAGAACAGGCTAGCACGGTGACTGATGCCTTATGATTTACTTTTGTGTGACCCCCCCATGTCCTCCTCTAACCAATAGTTCCATCCCAAGAATTAAATTTTATATGATTTATTAGAGTACATTTTAAAACAACAATCTCTTAATTACACTTAAATTTTTCTATGGGTATGTTTAATATATTTTTTAATGAATAGAAAACATTTTGATTATATCTTTGGAAACATTTGTAGAATTCAAAAACAGCTTGGAATCAATCAGATGGCTGCCAATAGGGTTCTCTGAAAAAAAAGTGCTTTACTTTGCAGAATTATAAGCTAGAAAGTACAATGGCATTATGTCAGTTCAAAGCATTGCAGTTCATCCAGTGATGCACACGACTGGATTCATAGCTTCTTACATTAGCCACCTCTTTTTTGACCCACATTGAGAACCAATCTCTGCATTACTCATGTACCTCAAGCTAAGTGATCTGTGTGCCAATCATTTTATTCTGCCTGGACTGGTGCTGGTCTTCTCAGCCAATCACCCTTTGCTATCTCTCTCCTCTTGCCTAGCAAGGTGCATTTATTCCCTCTTCCAGCTCTGTTTGGCTAGGAAAGGAGGGCACTTTCTTTATCATTACACATTTTGAGCTGACCTTCCTCCTTGTCATGCCTGAAATCATACTCTTGGCCAGCAAATCCCAAGATGCATGTTGTCATCAAGTAGGACCAGCTGTGATAGAAGGTAGTCCTTATCTATATAAGCAGGAACTTCTTCCACTTCCAATCCTAGACAAACAAATCTTATATTCTTCAGAACTTCTTAAGGTAGGAACACAAGGTAATCTACTAACCTAACTTCAGCCAAATGTGATGGCTGTGTGCTGAACACTACATGAAATTAACCGTTTGTCTTGGACCTATCTGTGACCTCATTAATAGCAGAAATGAACTCATCTTTTGGTGATCAAAATCTCTCAAATCCTTTCTAAAGGTGTATGGAATCTGATCCTACTTGGTTTATAAGTAGACATCCAACAGTTAGACCTTACAAAAAATGAGGATCATGCAAACTATCAGAAAAACTTACTCATTTTTCACTTTGACCTTTAAAAACAAAGTTCTCAACACCCAAGTGTCTTACTGGTACATTTTATTGGATTTGCAATTCTGCTTAATTAGATTATTTAAAATTAGTAGGTCGTTTGAATACTATTATCATTCCTACTGAAAGGTGCTGGTTGCTGCTTTCTGCCTTTTCTTGGCATCTAATGGTGGTCCTCACCCTGCTCCTAGTTGTTTCAGGCTGTTTGATTTGCCAGCATCCCCTCCTTACTTCTTTGTTAGACTCCTCAACAAAGTAGGAGTGCTAAGGTAACTAGGGCCTTGTTACCAAGCATTTGATAAGTACTTGATGAGGATGCTGACATATTCTTAGTGTCTCAAGAATCCAGAATTTTAATTTGGGCATGACTTTGAATTTCAAGGCTTAGATTAAGCTAATAGTATATATACTATATTTTTTTTGGTCGTGAGCCTAGCCTGTAACGGCTGAGCTATCCCTCCAGTCCACTAATAGTATTTTTTATAATGACATCTTGGTCAGATCTTTTCATATTCTAAAAATAGAGAATAAAAATTGAATGCTCTTTCTCCATTCCACTGTGGCAAAAAGGGGGAAGAAAGTCCCGGGAGGGCTATTTTGTAAATAAATATGGATTATTGTGTTAAGCAACAGTAATATGCCAAAAAGGGTTCATGTATGCATTTTGCTTCAGTCTTTAAAATGAGCCATCCCAGGTTGAGGACCGGCATTTGCTCTGAGTGACTCTCCTGCTCTTTTGGGCATATCAGCAGGTCCTGACAACAGTGGCACTTCTCCTAGAGCCCACCTGGCCATTCTCAGGGTCCCATATGAGAGTCCCAGCTAGTGGCCAAAATGTGACCCCAGAGCATCTTGAGGGACAATTTCTTTGCTGTGGAATGGGGTTTCATTAATGTCAGGCTCATCCAGCCCACAAAATTTATGAATATGTGGGTGACAGTTGATAGTCTGTAAGACCATCAAAAAAGAGGATCACACTTATGGAGCAGGACACTGAGATGGTAAAGCCTCCAAGCCCGTCTGGAATTGACTGGCTAAGAAAACTTGGAGTAAGGAATATTTCCAAACAGGTGTCAGTGGGTCATGGAGACACTCACATGCCCATTCTCCCAGAGGATGTCATAAATGAATGGTATCTAAAGGAGCACAGCAGTCATTTTAGAAATCAGCCCTCAGAATTGAAGTCATTCGTCACTGTGTAAATGATGGCTTCTTTGTCTACCTGTCAATACAAACACATCCTAGAAGTACTAGAAAATCTCAAGCAATCATTAAGAAGTTTCAGTGTTTCGGTGCCTAGCCCTTTTCCTCTTGCATTCTAACCAGAACAACTCTATCAAAGCTCACCATAAGTACACTGAAGCTGCCAAGAGTGCACTCTTCTAATCTTCCGAACAAGGCCTTTCTCATCTCTCCACACCCTATTTCTTCACCTTTCGTGACTAGGGGGACATGCTGTGTCCTAAGACTTTGAGTGGGCTGACATCTCAGTGGCTGTTGGTTCAATGCTTTCCTCGCTTAATGGGAGAGCAAGGGCTGAAGACCTATTAACTGCTTCCCTTGCTCTCTCACAGGGACTCTCTCGCTCTCATTAGTTGACTCACTAGTTATCCTTGCCCCAGGCCCTGGCTTAAAAGGAATAGCTCAGGATTTCAAAGGTTAACCAGGGGGGGCAAGAAGGCATGGAATCTGTGATCATGCATCTGCTCCCACACTCCCATTGCAGTTGACTTCAGCTTAGCTCCTACCCAGTCCAGGACTGACTCTGACAGTGGGGTCAGCCCAGAGGTACGGGTAGTCTTTAGAGAAACTTGTGCGATGGCTGAGCTCTGAACAGACCAGCCAGGCTGGATTCTGAAGTGCCCCGTTAAGTCTTTGAAGGGAAGCACCAGAAATCTTCCAGCAGGGATAATGGAACACATTGGTCTGTTGCATCTGCTTGTGTCTAGACAGTGTCAAAGAGCAAGTCTGAGGGCTTAGATGGACAGGGGGGATTAAGACACAGAGTTTCTCAAATCTGCCCTTGAGCAATGGTGAGAGAAGGAGAAAGGAAAGGAGCCATTGGCTAAAGGCAGTGCCTCTTTGAGGACAGCGAATGACAGTGACAGCAACTCTGCTGGGGCTCCTCATTGCCTCTTCTCCTGTCCTGCTAGGCCCAGACAGCCTAGTGATGGAGAGTGAAGCTGAGCTGGAATGTTTCTCCCTAATGCCCGGCCAACTTAAACACATCAGGTCTATAATGAAGTACCTTTCTGTGCGCCTTTTCTGTAGGACATGTGGCACTTGGATTCTGGTACTATTAAGGAAGCACAACACGTCACTCCTGCATACCTATATGATTTCCCAGTCCTAGCACAGCCCTTAGTGTGCCTAGCTGATGGATTTGTTAATCAGAGCTCAGCACAGTGGCAGGTGGAGTCACAACGAAGTCAGCAATAGGAAGGGTTCGTGGATGGTGCCTATCTGGAGCTTTGCTCTTGAGTACTGATTCTGATTTTCTACGTGGTTCATGGATCACCTCGGACAGGTTTGCAGCAACCCCAGGGAAAGAACACAAGGAAGTTCCCCCACCTGGATATCTTAGGTGCAGGTTAGTTTGCATTTTCAGATCTGCTTCTATTTGGGGGTAATACACTTTTACAGAGCTTATTAGAAAACTGGTCTAAAAGAACACATGCTATACAGAGCATAACAAAAAGCACGAAGAAGCCTTCCATCAAAACAGGAAGATTTTTTCTGACTCAGGCAAAGGATTTTTCCTTCTTTCTTTCAAGGGATACTAACACAGCCAGTTCTTGACAGTAATAGATAATGGTAACGGAGGAATTATGTGTCTTACAGATGGGCCCCAATTTCCATTGGAGGCAAGCATTCCATTCTCTTCCCTTGCCTAACCTTCCCAACTTGCTCCTGCGGACTTACTTAAATCTCACTGTTTGGTCCTTGTCTTGACCACTCTTCTGGCAAATGGACTCATGCATGGTCAAAGACAAAGAGAGAGGCGGGGAAGTGGGGGAGAAGGGGTGGTCAGAGGCTGAAATAAGCCCCAATTTAGATAACGTGTGCCTGGAAAATGGCCAGTTGGCCCTATAATAACTTCCAGATGAACCTGACTTTTTGCGGACACCAGCAGGTCAACTGGTTTCATTCTATTTGCCTCCCACTTCTTCCATCCAGAATCACGGATCTCCGCTGGGGCTGGTAAAAACAGCTTGTTGAAGTCTCTAGTCTTTGGCCGTTCTTGGGGATGGTCATTTTATTCCTAAGCGTAACCCCTTCTGGTGTGACCCATGTGTTTTCTGCCAAATCCCCACAGAGGAGGCCAGGGGAAACTGTCTGAGTGGGGCTTCTGATAGGGGACAGCAGGACCTTGGAATCTATCACTGTGGATGAGGAGGGTAGGTGGTCCATGATGGGGAATAAGATTAGGCTCTGAGGTCTTCCTGGCCTTGACCTGTGGAAAGGTTTAGAACCCCCAGATGCTCGCTCCAGTTTTGAAGAAAGGAAGTTGTCTCCTGATGGCTCTGTCTCTGATGTGCGCTTTCTGCATGGCACCATTGCATCCTCCTGTGTGGAGAGCAGATTGGATACTCCTGGTTCCAGAGAGCAGAGGGACCCCTCACACGTGCAGGATGCGGTGCTGCCCTTCCTCTGGGATGCAAAGGCTCCTGACTCTTGCTTTGGTTGCTCTTCCTCTGGGCTTTCCAGGGAAGAGGGAGGATCATCTTTGGTGGGTTTCTGAGGGCTCTCCGTGGTTGAACCAGGTTCACGGTTGCTCTCTGGAGACTGAGTCCCACCTTCCCCTGTACTCTGAGAGGGCAGGGGCTGTGGGATCTGTGTATACTGAATCTTGGGTGGGATGACAGGGACAGCCTTGGCCTGACACATTTTGACCATGAAGGACGTTCTCACAGCTGACACACTCACGGGAGCTGAGTTCCGGCGGCCTGTCAGAGCATGGGCAACAATGTCCAGGTCCTGGGTGTCCTGGGAGCTTCCGGGGGCTACTTTACAGTGAGAGGAGGTCATCCAGGTGACCTTCGTGTCTCCTAGTTCAGAGAGCTCTATTCCAGGTGAACTAAATGAAGCCCCATTCTCAAGTCGGAAGAGGTCAGTGATGGGCGTGGCAGAGTCCAAGTTGAGGGAAGAAGGCCTGTGTTTCCCTTTTGAGGGTCCACACTCCGTGCTCTTAGGCTGTGACTTTAGGGTGTGTTCCCCGGGTGAGGTGCTGTCTTTAGCCCTAGGTGAACTCTCCACACTGCTTTCTGGCCCAGGGATATCACTGTGTTTCATCTGAGGGTTGCTGAGTTCCAGCTGTGGTCCCTGCTCCTTTCCTTCTGCCAGACTGATGAAGTTGGTTTCTACTGCTTTGGGTGGTATACCAGATGGTTCCTTCTGGCTGGGAAGAGCCTCTAACCCTTTCAGGCCAGAGAACTCTCTGAAGGCTTTCAGGGCCCTTTCCTCCCATCCAGCACTCTTGTTTCTGGCTGTGGGGGGCTGCAGAGGCTCATAATTCCTCTCTGTTTCAAGATTAGCACAGCTGCTGGAGAAGGGAACCTCGAGAGTCCAGTGGCTCTTACCAGTGGTTTTGCTATCCAGAGAATGGCTCTGGCGAAGGCTGGGCCTGTGGCAAAGTCTCCTCTCCAATCGGTGGCCCTGGGGGCACTGCACCTGGGACCCCTGCACTTCTTTCAGGGTGGGGGAATGAAGGGGACTGGTCACCCACTGGGGCTCCTCCCAGGGCTCTACCATCTCCAGGCCATGCTGAGCAGTGTCTGTCACAGTGTCATCTTCGTCACAGTCTGAAGGCTCTTGTGCTGCATGGGGGGCGTCCCCCTCTTCTTGTGGGGTGACTTCAACCTCCTTTGCTGGGCTTGGGAGATCAGGGCCTTTGCTCTCAGGAGCTGCTGACTTTGCATTTTGCTTCTTGCTGGGACTTGCAATGGCCTCCTCTCTCTGATGGGGGCTAGGGACGCCAGGGTTGAAAATGGAATTTGGCTGCTCTGCGTCAGAATCTGTCTTGGAATTGGTGGATGCATCTTCTCTGTCAAGGCCTTCCTTTGACAGCAAGACTTGAGGCTCCTCCTCCAGGGGAGTTGGAGGCGGAGGAGCAGGAGGAAGTGGTGGAGAGAGATTTCTTGGGCCTCCCGTCTCTACCCTAGCTGGAGAAGACATCTTCTCCAACAGAAGTATTTGCAGAGGTGCTAGACTGGCCGGGTCTGGGCTGAGTTCCTGCTTAGACTCAGACTCAGGGAGGCTGCAGACCGGCTCCAGCTTCTCTCTATTGGCAAGGATAGCAGCCTCCTGCGTGCTTGGATTGGCTGAGTCCCTAGTCCACGCTTCCAGAGGTGTGGAACTGCAGGGCAAGCTCCCAGAGGCCTCTGGGAAGGGAAATGGGGCTGGACCTGACTCAGTAATTGGGCTTGTCTTCTGAGCAGGGGGTGGCAATGACGAGAGTTCCTCCTCTGATTCAATAATTTTCAGTTCCTGTTGAATCTCAGGCCAGATCAGGGTGTGAGCTAGGTCATCTTCATCCTGAAAAACAAGAAGAAGCTGGTTACTTCTGAGCCCAGAACTCTGGGTACTGATGTCTGCCAAGTGTCCAGTGAGCAGAAGGGAATGGAGTGATGCCAGCTGTATTCTCCAGTCAATAAAGGAGGCAGCCCCAGCAGTAACCATGGGTGTCTTCCTGTTTAGCCTTTTCAATGCCCTAGAGAGATGATACCAGCTACGAGACTCGTTGACTAGATTAAACAAGTGACCCGAATCATACAGTGGATCAGAATGGAAATCCAGTCCTGTCCATAGTGGGACACGATCTGTCGCTGACCTCCTTTCTCAGCCACTTGTTAGCACATGGTGTTTTATACCCAGCAAGTGCTCGGCCACTGAGCTATGTCCCCAGCCTTCCATCTACTTGCCTTTCTTGTCTCAAGATGCAATTCTCTTGTAAGGAGAAGCATCTCAAGGTCTCTCTCTCTCTCTCTCTCTCTCTCTCTCTCTCTCACTCTCTCTCTCTCACACACACACACACACACACACACTAGTGGAGGTGTGTGTGTCGTGTGAAAGTCTGATGCGCTGCTGACCTCCTCACCTGGCTCTGGTTCTAGAGTCCCGGTTAAATCTAGGGTCTCACACATGTGCTACACTTCCATTTCCCCTTTTATTTCTTTAAGCTCTCTAGTAGTACTTGGCCAAAGCAATTGTATTTTACTTCACTGCATTCCTTTGTGAACAGTTCTGTTTTTGCTCAACTAGCATTTTTCTTGCTTCCTTACTTTGCTCAGCATTTACATTCATTGATCTGTCACTAAGAAATCCTGTTGTCATGGAGGGCCTCACCCTCCCTGGGGATCGGAGTGGAGATTGGATGGGGGGCTGGGGGGCCTGGTGGGGAGGGATGGGGAGGAGGGGAGGGAGAGGGAGCTGGGGTTGACATGTGAAACAAACTTGTTTCTAACTTAAATAAAAAACAAAGGAAGAGAAAAAAAGAACATTAACCTGACACTAGTGAATGGAAGAGAGAGAAAAAAGAAACCCTGTTGTTTCCTCACCACTCCATCCTTCTACTTCACCCTGGATACTGACTTTCCCTGTCAGGGACAATGGTGACAGTCTTGGCCACTGTAGTGACCCTAGTGCTGATGCCTATACTTGCTAACTTGAAGTCACCCTAGTTCTTCCAGCAGTAATGTCATCTTCCTCGAACTTCTGTTGTTGGTGTTGGGGCTCTCCTCATGAGACGTCAAAAGCATCTCTGCCAATGCAAACATGCTTTATGGGAACCCATGCTCAGCCCTCCTGAGGCCACCACGTCACCTCAGCTTTGCCCTAACTCCCTGCACACGGTCCTCTTGGTGTCTTCTGGAAGCTAGTTAAAACGCTGTAGGCTTCTTTTACCCCTCCGCACATGCCTCTGGTCACAGTTCTCACAAACGCAGGACTTCTCCTTGGGTGTCCCCAGAAAACCTCCTCACACCTTCTACGTAAAGACATCTCATAAAAACACCCATGGAAAATTCCACCCCTAAAGAATGGATAAGGTCTGTCAGCTTTGGCGTCAGATTTGAACTTCTCTAAAAACACAGACTAGAGCCTGGAAACCTCGCAGGTTTTATAGACAGCCCCGGACAAACACCAAGCTGGACTGAGAAAAGAGAATGGAGTTCATGAATAGTCATCATGCCTGGGGCTTGGATATAAGGAGCAGGCTTTGTACTGCTTCTGGCATGAATGCCATTACATTCTAAGGACATGTCAGTGGTTTGTGGGTCAGAAATGCTTAGAGTTGTGTCTGCCTTGGGAATCTGAGCTGAATGGTTCCTTCCGGACCTCCCAAGAGGCCTGCCACAGAGAAACCCCAGGCTGAGAAGTGAGTTTGTTTTTGTGTTGTTTGTTTTAGACAGGGTCTCATACATCCCAGATTATCCTGAATGACCTTGAAACCATGGTCCTCCATCTCCCAAGTGATGGGATCATAGGTGTATGCCAGTACTCCTGCCTGATAAGTGAGACTTCTAAAGATACACACACACACACACACACACACACACACACACACGCACGCACGCACGCGCGCGCGCGCACACACACAGAGCAGAGAGAGAGAGAGAGAGAGAGAGAGAGAGAGAGAGAGAGAGAGAGAGAGAGAGAGAGAGAGAGATGGCTTTGTGAATAGAAGTGCTAGCCTTGCAAGCCTGACAACTGGAGCCTGGTCCCTGGAGGACACATAAAAAGCTTGACGTGATGGAGCACATCTCTAATGCCAGCACTCCTGTGGTGAGATAAGAGGTAGCAAGAGGTAAACTGCCTGTGAGCCTGTGGGGGGGGGGGGCGCTGGTGAGCCTGCAGTCCACAGTGCAGCAGAAGCAATACAAGAGAGGCACTGCCTTAACAAACAAGGCAAGAACAGACTCCCCAGAGTTGTTCTCTGACACCCACATTTACATGGTACACACGTGACTGTAATCACACATACAAAGTAAAAACACAAAAAATAAATTCATTAAATAAGTCTTTCTTGCAGAAACTCTTAACATTTCTTAACAACTTGCTTTAAATCGGACCTTTCGTGGCCGGAGCAGGCACAATCCACCTTACCATCTCATGGAGAAGCGCTGCTTCCGCCCTGGCCCTGAGGCTCTCTTGTGGAGCGGTTGTCTTCAGCTGCTCAGCCCCCTGGCTCTCCTCTGCCACCTTCTCTGCATTTGGCCTCTTCTCTGGTTCCCTTGAAAGTTGACCGCCCAGGGATATTTCCAAAGTTTTCTTCTCCACTTGGGTACCTGGGTCCAGGGGAGGGCCTTGGCTACATTCTGCTGTCCCCAGGCCTTCAGGTTCTGGCATGGAGTCCTCGGGAGCTGCCTTCTTAGCCACAGAAGCTGCAGTGAGGATGTGAGTGATCAGTACAAAGGGTTCTTTTCACGAAGGTACTTGCAGCACCCTCCAATTGCTGCCCCAGCACCCATCGCTGTCCCAGCATCCTCCCATCTCTGCCCCAGCACCCATCTCTGTCCCAGCACCCTCCCATCTCTGCCCCAGCACCCATCTCTGTCCCAGCACCCTCCCATCTCTGTCCCAGCACCCATCACTGTCCCAGCACCCACCCATCACTGTCCCACCTCCTAGCCCTGCTTCACAGGAACTGGGGAATTCTCTCAACTCACTGCCCTCTCATTCTTTATGCTTCTCTCTTGACAACAATCCTGCCTCAGATTCCAGCCACTGTCTATTCCAGTGCTTCTCAACTAGGAGCCATTTTGCTCCAAAATCCCCTAGCCCCCTTGGGGCACTGGTAATTTCTGGAGACACTTTCGGTTGTCACAACACTGGAGGCAGTGAGTCCTATTGAGACAGGGTCTCATACATTCCAGATTACTCCAAATGACCTGGACACCACGGTCCTCCAGCTTTATAAACTGTAGGCTGTGCCCGCATATGAGGTCATGTAACTGAATGTGCAGGTTTGAAGACGTTGGCATGAGTGAAAGGTGTCTGAATAGACAGCAGTCAAAATGAATCCAAAACCTAATGGACAGTGAGTCTTAGATGTTTCTTGAAGTACCCACCCGTGTTGCATTGTACAACTTCATGGCAGTCTTGGTTCTAGAACCTGTGTTGCTGTCATGTCAAGCAACACCCACAAATATTGGCTGACACACCTTGGTTCAGGTTTGAGATTAATGTGCTGGGAATTGCAGTATTTTGGGTCCTCCCCCCCACTTGCTTGCTGAGAAGTTTAGGGGAACTTATTCCTCTACAAGCAAACAGAGGTTATCTAATAATAATTACCCATGCCTCAGAAGGTTGTCTTGAGAAGTGAGATTATGCAGGTAGCACACTTAGGTTATGGCCAACAACACAGGAGGTACTGAAAAGCATCAATGTAGGCTGAGAGAGAACATTCTATTGGTTTGGCTGGTAGGAAACCTTTATGTTGAGGTTCTCCCTATTCTACTCTAGGACTATTGGTCAAAAGAGTCCTTTCCAAGTGGCTCATACCTGTAACCCAAGCATTAGAGAGGCAGAGACAGCGGGATTCTTTGTTGGAGGCCAGCCTGGCAATAAGGGAAGAAGCCTGGATCAACAACAACAAAACTCCCTCTCACCATGGCTACAGACCAGACTGTATCAGCCTTGGTGTGTGAGAACCCATCAGACTTACTCTGTGATTGCTGTGATCAAACCTAAGGAAGCACTTTCCCACGACTAGGTCTACTAGTCCTATTGTTTGCAGATATGAAGCAGAAATGAGGAAGGACGGATGAACAGAAAATACATCCAGAGACACCGGCCCATCAATTGCAGCTCTTTAGCTCAGCATCCCATGACTTTTTCCTCCTGAGTTCTCACCACGTGTGCTCATAAAGTAGTAACATTTACTGAGTACCTACATACTGGACACTGCTCTGAGATCCTTGCATGTGTTGTGCAAACGTTCACACAAACTTACAAGGAAGGTCTGGTTGTTAACATCAGCATTTTTACATTAAGAAACCCAGATACAGGGGGCTAACTCGGTGAAAATCCATAGCAGAGCTTGGGTTTGCAACAGCCATTCTGGCCCTAGAGCCCACCATCCCAATCATCTCACCATACAGTCCAGCAAATAGTATCAAGCCGGTTTAAACCTGGCGTTCTATCTTCTAATGGAGGAAGACTCTCCCACCCCTATTTTACCTGGAAAGGACTCAACGCCCAGGGGCTTCTCCTCTTCTGGCCATCCCCCGCTTTCTGAACCTTGGAAAGAGAACTCTTCTAGGCTGGAGAGAGACTGCAGCTCTTTGGGGGGTGTTCTGCACGGGGTGCTGTTGGTGCTGATGACCGCCGACACGCGGAGCGGCACCGACACTGCAAAGGGCTCGGAGATGTTGAGCGCCTTTCGCTGGTGGCGCGGTGAGGGCTCCATCTGGAACAAGCTGCTGGTGAAGACAGATTTGCCAGGACTGTCGCTGGAGGTGTAGAACATCCCCAGAAGCTTCGGGGCACACTGCTCGCTCTCAGGATCCCCGATGGGGCGGAACACTTTGAGCTGTTCAGGCAGGGGCCGGATCTGACCGCTCACCTCGCAGCCCCCCTCAGCCCCAGCCGGCATCCCCTCCTGACCCCATTCACTCTCCTTGCTGAGATCACAGGAGCTGCCGGCGCTGCTCGTGTGCATTTTTGTGGCTGGAATGAAAAATCCACCAGTGGTGACTGTTCGATTGAAATTTCCTTTGCTTTCTTTCCCTGGTGAAGAAGAGCAAGCCGCGGTTAGCATCCTGAGTGTGCACAGACTACACCTGGGAGTGTACTTTTCTTGAAACTTGTAGCTAACAAAAAGTGGAAGGGATACGTGCAATTCGTCCACCAAGGCTAGAACAGCTAGAACAAATGTCAGTCCCCGTTGTTTGGAGACTGGTATCAAGTCATATGTAACCCATTCCAACGGGGAATACATAGCAAATACCCAACTATGCTGGGTTGGTTTTTGTCAGCTTGGCAAAAACCTAGATACGATTGGGAAAAGGACTCTCAATGGAGAAAAATGCCTCCATCACATTGCCCAGAGGCAAGCCTGTGGAACATGTACTTAATTTAGTGATTGGTGTGGGAGGGCACAGTTCACTGTGGGTGGTGCCATCCCTGGACAGGTGGTCCTGGGTTCTATAAGAAAGCACGTTGAGCAAGCCATGAGGAGCAAGCCAGCAGCACTCCTCCACGGCCTCTGCTTCTGTTCCTGAATCCAGGTTCCTGCCTTGACTTCCCTGAGAAAGCTGTAAGACACAAACCCCTTTCTTCCCAAGTGGCTTTTTGTCATAGTGTTTTATCACAGCAATGGAGACCCTGAAACACCAGTCAGTGGTTACTGGCCTATTGGTTCAAAATGACAATGGAAGTTGTGTGAAACTCACGGCCAGGAAACTCACAAATTCAAGACACACAATCATGGGGAATAAACCAGTGTTTGGCTCTTTCTGTCTAGGTTCTCCCTGTCTTAGTTTTTAGCTTGCTGACTTTTCATGTGGTCTAATTTTGAGTGAAAAGTCCCTGTGGTCTCCTCTGTGGCTAGAGGAAAGCTGGAGAAAGGGAAGGTTCTAGGTCTTGTCTGAGATGAGCCAGGGAATGGTCTGGGGCTAAGTGGTGGAGTATAAGCATAACTGCAGGTAAGCGGCTGGGCACTCATTGTAGAATCTCACCATGGTTATTCGAAGGAGAATGCCCTCCATACGCTCATACATTTGCACACTTAGTCCCTAGCTGGTGGACTGATTAGGAAGCGTTAGGAGGTGTGGCCTTGATGGAGGAAGCATAAGAGGGGGTGGGCTTTGAGGTTTCAAAAGCCCACACCAGGTCCAGTCTCTCTCTCTCTCTCTCTCTCCCTCCCTCCCTCCCTCCCTCCCTCCCTCCCTCCCTCCCCCCCCCTCTCTCTGCCTGCTGCCTGTGAATCAGGATGTAAAGCTCTCAGCCATTTCTCCAGCACCACACCTGCCTGTGTGCCATTACGCTCCCTGCCACGATGATCACAGATTATCCGGAACTGTAAGCAAACCCTCAGTTAGATGCTTTCATTTATAAGTTGCCTTGGTCATGGTGCCTCTTCACAGCAATAGAATAATAACTAAGATACTCACCTTCCACAGGCACTGAACACAGCGAGTCCATGCTTTTAGCTGGTCGGATAGTAGCCTTTTCCACTAAAGATAAGAGAAAAAAATACCTTTGATGAATACATATTAGGAAGAAACATTCAGAACAATAGGCCAGGCTATAAGCATGTGAAAAAAAATTTTCAGGAAACTGTTTCAAGTAGTTATAACATATTATCTCCCTTTCCTAATGGGGACTGACCCTATGACAAGAGTGCACATATTGGTTTTAATAACACTTTTCAAACAAAGATAAATTGTAATTTTGTCAAATGAGAAGTCCTGAATCCAGTTTAATTGCACAAAAAGTGCTCAAGGAGTTGGAGCAATGGCTTAGTGGTTAGGAGCTCTGCTTTTTCAGAGAATCTGGGTTTGGTTCCCAGCACCCGTATGGCCTCTCACAGCTGTCTGTAACTCCAGTCCTAAGGGATTTGACACCCTCTTCTGACCTCCCAGGTCAGTGCATGAACACAATACACAGACATACATTCAGATAAACTTTCACACACATAAAATAATAATTTTTTAAAAAGTACTCAAGATGAATTCATGGGGTAGACTCTAAGGGTCCTGGGAAACCTCTCTTATCTGGTGGACTGGACAACAGGGTTGTTGGCTGTAACCATATCTAGCACACCAGAAATCTGGTACATCAATTGAAAAGGCCATCAGCTTTTCCCCAGGGGCTGTGCTCCATGAAATTTGTAGACTGGTTGTTCCTTACCCACTAACCTCCCCAATGAACAGATCACCACCACACTGGAATCTCTTGAACACAGACTATGCACCTGGTATACATTATGCATCAGTGCAAGCTACCATAGATGGGGCTTGGGAAAGTATTGGTTTAAATGAGTCAAGATCTTCTTGGGAAAGTATTGGTTTAAATGAGTCAAGATCTTCTTGGGAAAGTATTGGTTTAAATGAGTCAAGATCTTCTTGGGAAAGTATTGTTTTAAATGAGTCAAGAACTTATCGGTGGCAAAGGAACAGACACTGCTGTGGTAGGAGTTTGATCCCAAAATATTCATAGGTTGGAAACTTAGCTCTTCAGTCCATCAGGGTTGGGGGGTGTTGGGCTATGGGGGCAGAGACCTCACAAATGACTTTCTTGCTGGGATGGGATAGTAGCTGTAAGAGCCTGTCCTTTCTCCAGTCCACATTTATGTGTCTCTGTTCTTCTCCCACCACACAATGAAGTAACCAGAGACTCCCATCAGAAGTCAAGAAGATGTCAGCATGGGCATGCTCTTAGACGTCCTAACCTGTAGAACTTTCAACTACTATTCTTCATAAGTTACCCAGACTCAGGGATTATTTTACAGCAAAGGAAACAGGATCAGGACCAATATTCCTTCCAGGTCAAGTTTGCGAGGAGGAAGACAACAACCCGGAAGGTAAGGGGTGCAGGACTAACTGCCATTAAGGCAACTCTGGATGTACACAGATCCCGTTTGAGTCACTTCTGGCCTCAAACTCACAGAGATCTACCCGTTTCTGCCTCCTGAGTGCTGGAATTAAAGGCCTTCAGCACCATGCCCAACAGATTATACCTTTTCCATGTATAAAAGACACTAGAGTTGTTAAGACTGAATGAGGAATGACTATAAAGTAATTGTGTTGTTCAAACTAGAATAAATACTCAATTAAAAATAACACAGTTAGTTCCAGACCAGCTAGGGCTACATAGTGGGAACCTGTTTTACAAAACAAAACAAAACATACTGCTTATGACTGTTACGATCTGTAGTGCTCACCACAGGGGACAATGGGAGGTTGTTCTACAAGAAGCAGTTGGAGTTGGCACTAACTCAAATTGGGCAATAACTCATGCCTGTTTTTATTCCTCTTTCTAAAACTCCCCCTCTTTCTCCCTTTAATCCAAACTCTCCTCTTCTAAGAGGTTCTGATGTAGATAGTTGGCCTCCCCTGCTTGGGGATTCTCTGACTTGGCCACATGGGAGGACAGGCCTCTGCTTCACTTAAGCTCTCAAATGCCAAGATTTTTACCCCTTGAGAGTGGCTGTTTGTGCAGGATCATAAACTGATTTATCATCCTAAAGCTGCCTGGCTGGCGTCCCTCCGTCTGTGTTTTCTGAGGCTTGCCTTGCCTTTGTTTCCTCTATCTCTCTGTCTCTGGACTGTGGTTTCCATGTGTTGACCTTACGGGTCCGGAATCAGGTAATCATGAAGTAACCACGAGTCAGCCACCTTCATCCAACCAAGATCTGTAGCTTTCCTCAGTACCTCCCAAGCATTCCATTCTCTTCATAGTAACTAAAAGCTTAGTTTGGATCCAGTGGCTCATGCCTATACTTACAGAATATTTTTGCCCGAGTTATTGATCTGGCTTCCTGGAGGTCCACCCACCAGCCTCCCCCTTTTAAATTAGATTTTATGTAAACCAGGCTGTCTTTGAACTCACTCTATAGCTGAGGATGACCTTAAGATCCCGACTCTCTGCCTCCAACTTCTAAGCACTGAGATCACAGCATGTACTACCATGCCAAGTTAGTGCAGTGCTGGAGGGCTGGACCTTGGGCCTCCTGCATCCCAGATAAGAACTCCACTGAGCTTCGTCTTCAGCTGTCAACCAGTCATCTGGTAACCTTTGTGGCCTTAGTCTCTTCTGATGATTCCTTCACTCAAAGGTAAAGGAGTTTATTTTGATATAAAACAAAATTTAAATATTGAAACCAGTGTCTGGAATTTGCTTCCATGTTTATGCATCTCTGTTCAGTTACAACCTCATTTTTTTGTGCTTTCTTATCTGTTCAGTTTTTAAAATATGCTTGAACATGTCCTTCTCTCCACTGCCAACCTAATAAACTTCCAATACTACTCATGGTTAATCAATTTTTAAGATGCCCTTAGGGAGCTTGGGAAATGACTCAACAGGTAAGTGCTTGCTCTGCAACATGACCTGGGTTTGGATCCCCATCATCCACACAAAAACCAAGACAACAGCATGTGTTTCTAATTTCAGTAACTGGGAGGTAGAAACAGGTGTGTGTGTGTGTGTGTGTGTGTGTGTGTGTGTGTGTGTGTGTTGTGTTGTGTTGGGAGTGGGGTTTCTTGTCATCCAGTCTAGCCAAAGTTGTTCAGTGAGAGACCACGTCTTAACATAACACAGCACAAAATAAGGTGGAGAGCAGCTGGAAGATACCTGGCATTAACCTCTAGCCTCCACATTGGTGCTCACATGTGCTTGTACACATATGTGTGCACACCTGAATGTACTCTACAAATGCATACAAAATTTTTACATACCTTCTATCATGGAAATTTTAACATATTGTTTACATATGTGAATCCACTGATTTCCCTTTTCATATTCACACACAAAAGTATTGCAAGCCTATGTGCCACAAACAGAGACCATACTGGAAGATTACATTACAGACTTCTGTGGCCTGTCTTTGAGTACAGATTCTGCAAATGAATTATGTCCACTAGCCACACATAACAATCCTGAGATTTAGTTTTTAGGGTTCAGAGCAATGCTGTTCTGGCTAAAGCAGCCACTCTAGCAACGATCAATGGACCACTTGTATTGACCTCCACTGATGTCATTTTACTCCTACATCCCACCAAAGTTCAGCTGGCATGGTTTTATTTCCAATCAGTTTGTTCTAAGAGCTTAACCCAGTGGCTTTCAATTCCAGCTGAATGGTAGAACTACTTACATAGGGAGTTTTTAAAAAAATAACTAATACTTAGCCCTTACCACGGACCTCTCAAGGAGAAACTGTTGTAGCTGTGAGCCACTCTCTGGGTGACTCTGAGATACTACCCTGAAGAGCACATGACACCCCACTAACTCAGCCAAGATTTGGTGCAGCACCTTAGATTTGTGCCTTTGGAAAAATCACTTGGGGATAGTAGAACTCTTTCTAAAGTCAAGATCACAGCCCATCATTTATTTCGTCTTTGTTCATTTTGTTCTCTTGGTTTTTGTCTTTTTATTTTTAGCCTCTTCCATTCTGTAATGAATCCTTTGATGTGCTTAGACAATCTCTCATCATAGACTAGGAGTTTCCTGTCAGGTACTCATTCTTCCCCCAACATTGTCCATGGAGAGTCCTAATTTCTTATTTGTATTGGTTCAGCATGCGGTGACACTTAGTTTTGCATTTGATGAAAGGTGTGTTTGCCATGCAACTGTTACAGATGTCTACCCAGAATCCCTTTCCCTTTGCCATATTATAGAGCGCTTGTACTTCCGAGGTTTATTTTCTATTCCTCATGCCTGGTTTAGAATCCAGGAACCCCTTTGGCCACAGGAACTGGCTCTGTGATCCAACAAAGGCTACTGAGACCAGGGTAGACTCAAGGCAGGACACTTGATGAGACCTGATGAGCAAGCTCCAAGAAATGACATTCCTTCTGCCTTTGGGACAGTGCTGCTCAAGGAGAAAAGCTGGCTCTAATTACCACAGCCAAGGATGCCAGTCTAGAATGGTAGCGGCACAAAGAGGCCAGAACAGCTTAGGAAGGCCGGATGAAATGGAGACACAGCCACTATGTTAGGTCCCTCGAGCCTTCTCACTATTGGAATGTCCATTTCTGTCACTGACTGAATTTATTCTTAGTTATAGTAGAAATTACTGTGACTGCTGCCTGCCATTTATCCATGCAGCAGGTAAACAGGACTCAGGTTTCTAATATTCTATGCTCTGTCCCTTGTCTTGAAATTATCACTGTCTGCATAAAGAAGTTCCAGATATTGTCTGAAAATTTTCATAACTTCAATCTAACCACAAGAAAACCCCAGACATACCCACACAGAGGAACAGTTCTATAAAATAAGGGCTGGTGTTCCTCCAAAGCATCATGTTGAGAGAAACTAAAGAATGATTCTACCTCGGAGGAGACTGAGGATGTATGACAACCAAATGAAGTATGGATCCCATGTTTGAACTTGGACAAGAAAGCGTACATTAGTGGGACAATTGGTTAAGTTTGATTCCTAAGATACATAAACCAGTTAGTAGTATTGTATTAATATTATCTTTTTTTGTTTAGATAATGGTTTTATAGTTGTGATGACAGCATTAGGGGGTTTCATGAGTACTTGCCTCATCATCATCTTAAAAAAACGTAGTGAATCTGACTTTTTAAAAACTAGTTAATGTGAAGTGATCAAATGTGTAACTGACTAAGAACCACAGGTGTGTGGGAAGCCGTGATCCTCACCTGAGAGCCTCTGCCCCCTCACGAACACACTCCCATTTCTGCTCAGCTTGGATTTCGAGTCCGATCCAGAACGCCCCAGATTAAATATTGATTTCCACTTCTTTGATTTACTGGAAAGCTTTCTCCTAAAATAACCAAGCCATACAGGTGAGTTGAACTTGTCATTCCAAGGCAGAGTTGTGTTTTGAGGCAGGGTCTTCAGTAGACCAGACTGGCTTGAACTCATCATTATTTCTGCTTCAGTCTCTCAAGGAGGATTGCAAATCGAGAGAGAACACTACAGTTAAAGTCTCAGTCATGGATGGCTTTGATAATTCTAGATTTCCCTCTAAAATCCAAGTTGCACCTGAGGTAGCCTGTCTGGGGATACCCTGAGTGTCCAAACAAGTTAAGGTGAAGACCCTTCTCCTTGGAACTACAGCCAAAGTCTGCTGTCAATCAAAGGCAGGGGTGGGTGGCAACTGGAGGGGTCAGTGGGTCACTCAGAGATCATGAGCAAACGCACAGTTCTGAAATCTGGTAGGAAGTCTTTGAGGCATTGCAGTCCTGGCTCTCCAAACATGCTGAATTTTTTTTAAAGAGGAGTAAACAAGCCAGAGGAGGTGACATATGCCTTTAATCCCTGCACTAGGGAAGCAGAGGCAGGTGGATTTCTGTGAGCTCAAGGACAGCCTGGTCTACAGAGTGAGTTTCAGGGCAGCCAGGGCTATGTATAGAGACCATGTCACAAACAAACAAACAAACAAACAAAGGCATAAGCAATTAGGACCATAGAGCCCAGTCCTGTGCTTTCTGCCTGGTGGCCATAGGGCTAGGATATGCGATAAAAACTCAAAATGGAGGGATGAGAAAGTAGGCCAGTAAAAGAATGTGTTCTGGTGCTGCTTGGGGAGCTGTGGTTTGCCAGCTTGGGTCAGCAGTCTTGGTAAAGAAATGTATAAGGGTTGGTATACATCCTATTCAGGCTCCTACCAGGCTACTTGGGGATGGGGATGTGGGTAGGTAACACAGCATTGGGCTGGCTCATGAGAACCTGGTACCACCAAGGGTCACTACGGAGGCAGGTCCTGCTTCAGATCCACACAGCCAGTTATGGAGTGAAGTTCAGGGTGAACCCCTGTAACTTGGGGTCCTCATAAGGAACCCTTTCTCTACAGAGCTCTTGTCAAGCACTGGGTCTCTGCTTTAGTAGGTCTTCAGGATCAGTCAGAGACAAGTTCGCATACTTGTTGGTTTTTCTCTCTGACTTGGCTTGACAGCCTGAGCACTTAGCCTCATGGTGTATAGTATAGAGCAGCATATATTAGGCTGTTATGGAGCTGTGGCTGAAAGCAGAGAAAATGCAGGAGACGGGTCTCTCTGAGGCCCCATTCTTCACCTCTGGGAGGGAGTTTTATTCTGTATTGATTTATGGAGGTGCTGTGCATTTAGTTCCAAGGATGTACAATCCGTCTTCTCTAGCAAGCAGTGTTTTCCCAGGTAAGTTGAGGCATGTCATTCCTACAGTACAAGCCTCCTCTAGTTACTCAGGGTGGCAGATTGTTTCTTCTCTAAACAGCTTGCTATCTTGGGGAAGGAACTGGCTCATGAAACAGAAAGGATGGCACTGGTTAATAAAAAGGCACCTTCAGCTACTCTCTGCTACAGGTATGCAGGACTGGCTCTAATTACTGCCTTCTTCCATGGTGGGGTACAATGAGTAGGCAGAGACTAGGGTTGTAGAGGAAATAAGGAAAGAAGATTCCCTGTGGGTACCCATGATGATCTGTTTTGAAAGGGGGAAGGATCAGGGGATGGCTTCAGTGCTTGCCACTCAGCCTGAAGACCTGAGTTGGATCTGAATATGGGGGTACATGCTTGTAATCCCAGTGCCTGGAAAGCATACACAGGCAAATCCTTTGGGCTCACGAACTAGGCAGACTAGTCTACTCCATGAGCCCCAAGCCAGTGATAGACTGTGTTTTAAAAAAGGAACAAAAAATAGAAAAAGCAGGCAGTGTCTGAGGATCAAGCAGTTTCCTGGCCTCCACACAGCTGCAAACCTGGACACATGTCTACATGAACACATCCAAGTGTGTATATAGACAGACACAGAAACGGGGGTGTCCTCTGGCAGGTTGAGAAGAAGCAAGGAAGTCAGAAATGCCATCCCCAAGTGCTGTTGCCAAGAACTCTCTGACTAGAGTGACCCCATTTGTCAACCTGTATTCTGTCTGAGGCTCATCTCTATGCCTTTTTCAGTGTTACCATGTAGGGGTGGAGGTCGTGGGGAGGGAGGTAAGTGCTGACTTTGGCAACTTACCAAACTTACCAAAACTCTAGGCCTGTTTTGTCTACTTTATGGTAGAAGAGACTCATGACTCACTTGGTAGCTTGGGTCTTTGCAGGTCTTTGGAAAGGTGCCAGAGTTCACACTAACTCAGGGACAGTGGTTAAGGCATCACTACAGATGATGGTGAAAACTGTGGAGACAGTCCCCTTCTCTTCTAGAACATCTCAGCACCCCAACCTATACTGCTGTCACTCATGGCCTCGAGACAGGACTCCTCACCTCCTTGGCCCCCTCCACCCACAAATCCTTTAAAATGTTGTAAGAATGCCAATTACTTGTTGTCTGGTAAGTCAAGAACTGTGTGGAAGAGGGTGCCCATGGGAGGGACAATCTCAGGCAGGCTATTCTCTCGTCTTTCCTTTCGAGCAGGGTGGTTTGTTGCCAGGCTTCGGGCCTGAGCCTCCTCCAGGCTTACTAACTTCATGGGCAGGGACAGGGCTGGCAAGGTCATGCTCTTTGTGATGATACGGCCTTCTGTAAACAAAACAGACAAAAAAAAAAAAGTTCAGTTTATGAGCAGGTCTGAACCCAGGCCTAATCAGATCTCTCATCTATAGCCTTGACCTCCTCATCGGGCCTGCATGCCAATGGCGGCTTTTCTTTGGCACAGGGGAGTCTAGGGTAGAGACTGCCCACAGGAAACTTGTCACTCTTCTGCTCCCTGCAGGAGGAGGGCAACGATGGGCCTCAGGAGGTAACTGCTTTCTGTGCTTTCCATGGAGTGACTGTTCACAGATACATTCACTCACGCACAAATACTTATTGAGCACTTACTGTGATCCAGTGTTACAGCAGTGGGCCTTTAACCCTGAAAACTTTGCTGAGTGCTTTGGTCAGTGAGGGATGTGGCTTAGGTGGAGTAGGTGGCTGCCCCTCCCCCCACAACTGAGGAACACATTCCCTGAGGCCATGGCTGTCAGGAGTCTACTCCCCCGCATCTGCTTCTAGAGGGACAGGTCATTTATATATCATGTATATATATTTCCTCAGAGAGAGGCAGCTTTCTTCAGCCCCTGCTTGTCTTGGAGTGTTTATATTATAGCCAGTGTCCCTCTTCCTGACCCTCCTCGCTGGGAGTTCCTTTCAGGTTGGAAATCATGAAGGCATGGGTGATGGACAAGGTTCTCCCATCTTCGCCAGTGGTACTTGTAGCAATTTTACAAACCCTCCTCTCACTCTACCCAAAGGTATTAGCAACATTTAGACACATTTTATTTTACTTTTTTTTTTTTTTGAGATAGGGTCTCATGTAACCCAGACTGGCCTTGAATTTGCTGTGTAACCAAAGATGACTTTGAACTCATGATCCTTCTGCATCACCTCTCCAGTGAGTGCTATGACTATAGGTGTGTACAAGCATGCCTGACTGCAGATATCTTCTTCTACACAAATTAGTATTCATATGTAGGTGTCTACGTGAGTGTGCGCCATGTGTGCGCAGGTGTCTCAGAGGCCAGAGTTGGAGTTATAGGAACTTTCGGGCTGCTGGAAACCAACTCCAGTCCTTTGGAAGAGCAGTGAGTGCTTCTCACCACTGAGCAACCTCTCTGGAACCCCCTGAGGACATTTTTGATCATTACAAACACATGTTACTGGCACCTGGTATCTGGGGCACTTTCTTAATTAAGGATTGATGTGGGAGGGCCCAGCCCATTGTGGATGGTGTCACCCCTAGGCAGTTGGTTTGGGGTATAAAAAGGCAAGCTGGGATAGGCATGGGAAGCAAGCCAGTAAGCAGCACTCCTCCATGGTCTCTGCTTCAGCTACTGCCTCCAGGTTCCTGCCCTGACTTCCCTTCATGAAGGATAATGAGCTATAAGATGAAGTTAACCCTCTCCTCCCCAAGCTGCTTGTGGTCACGGTGTCTATCACAGATGTGTATGTTGTAAAACCATTTTTAAATACAAATGGTCACTGAGACAATTCTGGTTGACCAGATTCCTGATACATACATACATACATATAAATGAAGTTCATAGAAGTTCAAACAGCACAAATCAGTTCACTCCTAGGGTTCACTATGCTATTATGAGCCATTATGAGCCATATATCAGCACCCATATTTTTGTATGCTTCCTACGTGATACAGGACAGGATAAAGTCCTTGAGAAACGGTTGCATAGAGAATGTGTTCTGTAACTACACATGAGTATGGACATGGCCTCTGCTCACTTATGACTTTAAGGGGAAGACATAAGGCTCTTCTACACATAGGAAAAGAATGTTGCCCATCCCTTTACACAGTAAAGAACTCACTAGAAAGAGAATATTGTCCCAGTTCTATTGCCACACCACATTCCAGCGAGAGGCCATGTATGCAGCTGATCAGAGACCTACTAAATCCACATGCAAATGCAACCATTTCTGTATCATACAGGTACATATCTAACACCGTCAGGGCGGCCAGTAACTGCAACACTATAACAGTGAATTGTCACAGACAACAACACACAGCAGTAGAGAACTAGGCCAGAACTAAAGCCAAGCTCACCCTCACTTATTATTATTTGTTTGACACAGTGTCTCATATAGCAGTGCAGACTGGCCTCAAACTCTTTATGTAGCCAAACCTGACCTGGAGCACTTGTTTTACCTGCCTCCACTTGCAAACTCACTTATTTGGGGGCTCTAGGATTAGGGCAGTAATGGAGGTTAAGTGTGGGGCATAAGGTTAGGGGAGCTATTACCATCCTGCTGCAGAGGCCCTGGAGCACCACTGTTGAAGATTTGATCGGCATGGTTCAGTATGAATTCAATCACCACCTGCTGGACCCGGACTGCCAGAAAGGCTGCATCTCCATTGTATATAGTGGCTTCGATTTTTTTACACCTGCATGGAAGAAACACGCCAGTGACTCTGCCTTACAGTAGGAGGCAGCAAGCATGACTGGTGGGCTTTTTGTCCAGGCCACATGTCTTAACTTTTCATGACCAATCACAGAGGGTCTCCCAATAGCAGTGAAGCCCAACCCACTGAATAGACTAGAAATCACTGTCACATGGCCTATGTTACAAGACTATAAACACTGTCCATAGATGAACAGGACTGACTTGTTTTTACTTCCTGGGACTCCCTTCCACCTTTATCCCCCTGGCCCATGGGAGTTGCATGAAGTGGCTGATTGAAGTTACAGACATCGGTTACCTCAGCAAAGCCAAGAAGAACCAATGAGCTCCAGAGACAAAAAAAGGGCCTTTTCAAGATTTGGTAACATACAGACCCATAACTTTAGCCACACTGGGATTATAGCCAAAAAAGTGCTTTAGGAACCAGAGTTTCCAAGCAAGCAGGCCAAGAGCTTAAGCGTTTAAAGGCACATGTAATCCATATATGCTACAAAAAGATCGTTGAGCCCTAGGTCTGTCTTCCAGGGCTTTAACTTGGAAGCACCCAAGCTTTGTTTCCACTCAGAGTAGTGTGGGCTGCTCTGAGCCTGTGACGCAGTAGTTACCTGAGGAGATTCGGGGCCCACACCAGGGCCAGGTTCCTGGCGTGCATGTTGGTCTTGCTGCTGAATGAAGCGATGTGGGCCAGGTGTCGAATCAGGTATTCCAAGGTCCTGAAACAGTTCATTTGTTGGTTGGATTTTGGATAAAGTAAGAAATGTCAGCACCCATATGACATCGGTCACTTGAAGGTCACATCTAAGTCGGGGTTTAAGACACCCTATATTATAAATTTTGAAGGAAGATTGATGAAGGTGGCTTTCTTGACTCCAGGGTCACTGACTCAGGATGGGGACAGGTGTCAGTATTGGCAGATGTCACCTGAAGCCTCTGGAGCAGATTCATAGACAGGGACAGGGAATCGCTGACCACACACCCTGAGCTCTTAGTCAACACTTTGTTTCTTTTCCACACTGGGAAAATTCACCTCCCCACACTCCTCAAAGAAGTTCTCATCTCAATTCTTAGAGGGCATCCCTATAGCTACAGATGAACTTGGTTCTTGTTTACAGACTGGTTTCACAGACACAAGTTTGTTGACCATAAAGAAGTTCTTTTTTTCTTTTTTCAAGACAAGGTTTCTCTTCGTAGCTTTGGAGTCTATCCTGGCACTCGCTCTGTAGCCCAGGCTGGCCTCAAACTCACAAAGATCCACCTGCCTCTGCCTCCCGAGTGCTGGGATTAAAGGTGTGTGCCAACAACACCCAGTCAAAGAAGTTCTTTTTAACACATCAAACCCCACCCCCTTTTGAAAGGTGGGTGGATGCAGGTAGCATTGGGAAAGTTAGTACCATTTGGGCTAATCTGTGAGAATAGAAAGGGTGAGGACGATGTCTGTGCTAACTTTAAGGAGCCAGCAGATAACGGTGCTCAAGACTCACAGTCACCCCCAGCTTTAAGGCCATCTGGGATTCCAAAGGTTTGTTTATAGTATAATTCTGGTTGTGAACCAAGGATGTCACCATGCGGCTGGCTTGTGTGATAGGGGTGACTTCCTTTGGGACTCCGGTGAGTGTCCTGCAAATGGGGACAGGTTGCCCTTGACTGCCAATGCCCCTGGTTGAACACCTGCTCATCCCACCTAACACTGACTGTTCATCAATTTCCAAATGGGCCCAGGAAAGCCACTGTCTACTCGCTTCAGTTGCCAGGCCTCCTCGATGTTTTACCACACTGAGTCTGAATGTTTCTTTCTTACCTATAATGGGGTGGGGGCAGCTCCTGGATAATATTCTGAATTCGGGCCAGCTGGCCTTCTTCCGGGCAATGCGATACTGCTTCCTGTGGAGAAGAACATGAAGTACCCAGTGAGCACCCAGGAGCCAGCGCCCTTCCTGCGTGTGCTGGCGTTCGTGAGGACTCAGGTCCCCTCCAGCCTTACAGCTGTGTGCTTGTGTGTCCCCTCCCAGAAGCATTCTTGTCCGTGTCAGCAGCCAGCCAGATGCCCTGTCTGAGCTCCACTGAGCCGACTGTCTTCACCTTGTATGCACACAGAAGTGGGGGGGGTCTCCGTGTGCCCCCAGAGGTTGTCTGGTGTCTGGGAAAGAATGTATAGGATCTAAAAGTGTCTTGCGTGGCTGAGAGTCATAGACACTCACATTCAGAGGGACAGAGTTAGACAGAGATGTCACAGGGACACGAGTCTACTCAGCCCTTGTGGGTGTTAACAGCTGCTTACTTGTCACCTAGCCTGTGACTATTCTGTGACTTTCAATCCTCAGTTGTTGCCTGTTTTGGCTGCCAAGAAGCAGAGAAGACGTGTCTTCCTTATCAGGGCTAAGAGTTTTGTCCCCAGGATCTGGTGGCCTTGCCCTGATTTGCTATCTGCTTATATCCTGTGTGGGCATTTTGTTCCCATCAGTCCAGGGCCTTGCAGGGGAGGCAGGGACACCATGAGGACACTGCTATGTCAGGCTGGCTCATGTCCATCTCTCACTAGCCTGAGGCTTCTGTGTGACATGAGCATCCCTGAATATTCTTTAGGTCCAGCCTTGTTTCCTATCTTGAGACTAGATTCTGCCTGTGTGCAATGATTAAAATTGATGGCAAATTTGACAGGATCTAAAGCCACCAAAGAGACAAGTCTTTTGGCTGTCTGTGAAGGAGTATCTAGATTAGGTTAATTGAAGGGAGGAGACACACCATAAATATGGACATCACCGTTCCATAGGTGTCTTGAATACAAAGAAGACATAGAACATTCTTGTTATTTCCTGACTCAGGACAGTGTGACTAGCTGCCTCTTGCTCTTGCATTTACTTTTATAATCACTGCTGGCAGTGGCTGCAATAGAAGCAGAAATTAAGATTAGAATCTGTGGGCTTTGTACACTGTTCACCCACACTTATTTGTCAGCTGGCATTTCTGGCTTGCGCAGGGCTTCTGGAGCCCTGGGTGTGGCTTAGTAGGAGAATATTTGCTTAGTATTCACAAGGTTCTGCCAGCCCAACAAAACAAATAATAAAACAAACACAGAGTTCCTTGTACTGCACTTTATGATTTTGTGGTGGTTGCAGCTTTTCAGAAGGGTGAAGCACGAAGGCCATGAGTTCAAAGCCTCCCTAATAACACATCAAGATCCTGTTCCAAAAATTATTGTATTTATTGTTATTTGTGTGTGAGTACATTTCACACAAGGTGTATATGTGAGGCTGAGAATAGCTTGTGGGAGTTGTCTCTTTCTGTGATGTGGATCTCAAGGATCAAACTCAGGTCGTTGAGCTTGGCTGCAAGCACCATTAGCCGCTGAGCCATCTTACTGTCTCTTGTCTTAAAATTTAAAAAAGGGCTGTGGGTCTGGTTCAGTGATAAAGCACTTGCTTACTATGTAAGAGGCCTTGGGTCTAGTCCCTGACTCCACAAAACAAGCAAAATCCCAACAACAACAGTAACAATAAATATTCATGGTTATATTCTTAGTAGATGGTATTTAGACATTTACTACTCATTGAAAGCAGAAACCAATTACCATGCCTGGACACTTGCTGTCTGCTGGGCCCTTCTCTAAGCCATGTCTGAGGTGTATGTTTTGACGTAAAAGGATTCTAAGGTCCTTCCTGCATGGGTCTCCCTATCACTCTTGTTCCTGACCCCACGCCACTCCTGTGATGGACAAGGTACAACATGCTCCAGCTCCCTCATGCATTTATTTGTAATTAAAAGTTAAAGTAAGCATTAGAGTCTCATGATGGCATTTTAATTCTGTGTACACATGGACACCAGCCAGAGAAGTATGTCTCTTGTCTTCCTAGGTTCATCTCTGTCTTATTTCCTTGAAATAGGTCCTCTCGCTGAGCTTGGAGCTTCACAGTTAGCCCCAGAGACCCTGATGTCTCCTGCACCACTCCACAAGTGCCCGTGACTGCATCCAGGTTACATGGGCGATGACGACCTACTCAGGTTCTTGACCTGTGCATTAAGTGCTCTTACCCACGGAGCTATCTCCCCAGCTGTCATCAGTGGGAGTAAAACTATATCTGTATCTATCTTTACATGTGCCACTATTTTAAAAGGCAACCAGACACCTCAGTGTGGAAAATTTGAGTTATCTTTTCCCAAGGAGAGGGAAAGGCGGTTGGAATGTCATAGGCACGGCTTGCACTCTTCTGGTGGATGTACCTTTGGTGAAGACAGCCAGCATCAACATTCTCTGCTTTGTGAGACGCACAGCAGCGAGGGGCAGGGGCATGGGAGGCGTCTATGATGGAGCCCTAACCCTGCCTTCTCCTTCTAGAAAACAGCATCGCAGGGACTGCACTCCCAGCAGGCAGGGAGAAGCTCGCAGGGGAAGAGAAAGCGAGCCCTCCAGACAGCTAGGGCAGCAGAATACAGTATGCATCTTCACAGTTTGGCTCCATGGAGCAACGCACAGGGAGGGTTCAAGAGGCTGTAGACTGTCCCTGCATAGTCAGGGACAAGGTCTGCAGGGCTTCGTGCCATTTCCCTCTTTGTAAAAGCTGCCTAGAGCCAAATGTTGGGGCACTTGCCAATAACAGCAATGGAAAACTGAAAGAGGAGTTTAGGGACTAAAAGTGCAGGTGGAGATAGCAGCCCTCATGGAAAGTTTCTTCGGTATTTCAGGGAGCAATTTAGTCACGGGCATTCTCTTAATCCAGTGTTTCTCAACCTGTGGGTCATGACTGTGTGTGGGAGGGTTGAATGACGCTCACAGAGGGGTCACCTAAGACCATCGGAAAACAGATATTTACATTATGATTCATAACAGTAGCAGAATGACAGTTATGAAGTTGCAATGAGAATAATGTTATGGTTGGGGGTCACCACAGCATGAGGAACTGTATTAAAGGGTCACAGCACTAGGAAAGTTGAGAACCACTATCTTAAGTTAACCCTTGATGTTTGCTGGGCCCAGTGTGAACTACCTTTCATTTCTGTATTCACAGGCTCTCCCCCTGCACACACCATCCTACACAGAAACTCACTTTCCTTATCTTTCCATTTAATTGCTTAACCAGACGGGGTCTTTCCATATAAGCCAGGCTGACTTTGAACTCTCAATCTTCCTGCCTCAACCTCTCCTGAGCTGATATTATGGGAGGGTGACACCAAATTTGCCTTAAATCTTCATTTTTCTCTAGGAGGAGACCTGGTCATTGCAAATTCACTTTGGGTTTGTGATTCCCAGCTAAGACAGCAGATCCTAATGTTGGACTTTTGGGGAAGAAGAGCTGAAATTTTACCCACTCTAATTTGTGTATGTGTGTGTGCATGTGTGTGTGCATGTGTGTGTGCATGTGTGTGTGCACGTGCATGTACATGTGTGTGAATGTGTGTGTGTACATGTGGTGTGTGTGTGCACTTGAGTGCATGAGTGTGTGTGTGTGTGTGTGTGTAAACTGGAAGAGAAAGCTAGCCAATGTTTCAGTCTCAAAGATCTGAGATGAGCCTGCCACTACGTGTTCCTGCCATCACTGTCTAGACAATTGTCTTCCTGACTTCTGAGGAGCCAGGCAAAGGCAGGATTCTCATCCTGGCGGTGAGTCCTTGCTCTAGGACTCTGCTTTTCAGAAGCCACTTCTGCCCTACAGTTCAGGTCCTCCTTCTCAGACAGCTGTCATCACTAGGGTGGCCCAACACTAATAAGGGCAATTAGAAAATTAATACGTGCGCGCGCGCAAGCCAGAAGACAATATGCCTATACCTGCTGAGCCATAGACCCCCTGGGTACAATTTTAAGTTTTGTCAATTACTTAAAATGATTATAAATCATTTTTATTAAGTTATTTGACACCATAACTAGGTTTTTAAATGATAACAATCAGAAAAAATGATAAAAGGGTTAATTTTCCTTGGTACTACAGACCTTCAGACTCTGGGGGATAATTACTGTGTGGCTTCCAGAGAGCCCTTGTGAATGAGTCCTTGCTACATCTATGGATGTAATCAATCCTGGGGGATCAAGCCCTCCTGTGATTCCCACCTCCCATCACGGCTCGCCCCATGCCAGACACTGTCCCTACAGGCTCTCTCAAGCTCAGCATCCACACCCCATGCCAGACACTGTCCCTACAGGCTCTCTCAAGCTCAGCATCTCCCCACCCCCAAGCCAAGGCCTCTGGACCTGCTGTTTCTTGTTGTCACCCACTTCACCAGATACGGGTGTAATCTGTTCCCTCACTCTATCCCTATCTGTTTAGATGGAGACAACTCTGGTGACCCTAAAATAGCAGTCCCTGGCCATTCATGTCTCCCCAGCCCTGGGCTATTTTCTTCATAGTGCTCATTAACAGCTTGCATGAAACATCTGTGTATTACAAGTTTATTCTCTCTCTCTCACACATTTAAATGGAACTCTCAGTAAATACGGCTGTACGTGTCTCGTTTACCATTAACCCTCCAGGCTCCGGAACTGGGCCTTCCAGCTGCCTGGAGAAGGCCCTAACAAATAGCCGTTGCATGGAACAAATAAGTGAATGAGTCAATATTTTGCTCTGTGCTTAAAGATGGCAGACAGCCACATGTGGGCCACACTTTGAGGACAGTGTCACCTAGGAGCACTCTCCATTATGGGGAGCACTGTCCTGCTGGGATCATCCCCTGGCAGGGTGGCCAATCAGTTTGTTTTCCCCAAGGTTAAAGGTTTCTGCAGATGAGGTTTTTTTTTTGTTCTTTTAAAAAAACGTTTTAAAAGATTACTTTTTATTTTTTATGTTTATGTGTGTGCGTGTGCTTGCAGGAGTTATGTATCTCTCTTGATGGAGGTGTTTATTTGAGGAGGCTAAAGGACATGGGTCTGCCTGCAACCAGTAGTTGTGACTCCC